GACAATTAAAAGTATTAAAACAGGAAAATTAAGCTGTGGATGAATTTTATAACTTTTATAAACATCTAAAGATTACAAAACAGCTCCACTTCTGCACAGATTTCTGTAAGAACTCTACCATTACACTTTGGTTATGTGTGGAGGATAGCTATTGATTCTTCAAATGAATTGGGCCAAACATGTACAGTGAAAGATCTGTTTTCATCTCTTAGAAATTGTTGAGTCAAAATATACATTTCTCTAGACACCAATATCTTTTTTTTTCTATATGAGAAGCATTTTAATATATATATATATATATATATATATATATATATATATATATATATATATATATATATATATATATATATATATATATATATATATATATATATATATATATATATATATATATATATTTGTCCCAGGGCACACATGATGTTGCCTGTACTCAAAGTCCATTTAATTCTCTACTCAGAAAAACTTTGGTAGCAATGGATCCATTGGGTATCATCAGACTTTCCCAACAACCGGTTAAGTGTAAAGTGCAGAGCAGAAAGTTGTCTCTTAGTCAGACTGGCCGCTGACTGGAAGAAAGCTGAGGTAGCATCAACTTGCTTGAGGGTAAAAAGTGTGGGAGAGAGTGTAGGTGTTACTGGAGGGGCATTTGGAGAGCACATTTGATCCACATATGTTTATATTTATGTAGTCACTCGGAAAATCTACTTAAATCTGTAGTTGTAGAGCCATGTCTTTTCAGTTGTTGTTTCCGAAGGTGCATACGTTCGCCGGATTTTACAGAAACAATCTGACATGACAAGTGAGACATCCTCTACCAAATGAATAACTCTCCCATGGGTTATCTATAAATACAGCGCCAGTGAAGCCCCACGCATGTTTCATATTTGACTTTTGATTATCTCTGCCGATTGTCAGCATCTTTTTATGAGAAGGCAGCTGGCTTTTCTGAATAGGGACTAAACAGAGGAAACATGCGGTGAATAGAGATGATGGCCGGCTGCCAGAGACGGAAAGCAGCAGACTGAGAGAAGAGTGAGACACAAAATGAGAATTATAAAGTCCAGGTAAACAGATGGAGGAACTACAAGTGCATTAGATTTCTTTCTCTATAATTTGAGCCCGATGACAATTAGGATGGCACACCCAAGTTTAAACAATCTATGGAAAATTGTTGGTCAAAACCCTTTTCGTTTTGATTGAGTAAGGGTAAGACAATGTCCAGGTAGAAAGAAGGTAGTGATAGATAAGTATCCAGTTCCAGCGTGAATTCTTTTATATGCCGCTTCTTCCATTAATGAGAAAAATAATCTAAGAGAAATGCAGTCATTGTGGAGCAGCAAACCATGTTCAGGGATTTTAAAGCTTCCCAGAGAGGTTGGAAAACCTAACAAACATAAATGTGTTGGTAACTAATACATTAGTGAGACTTGTAGAGACTGTATAAAACGTAGCAGTAGTGAATAGAAGCAGATGAAAGTCTCACATTTCTACAAATAATCAATCTGTGTTTTACTCAAAAGGCTTTCACTGAGACAATTCAAATTTTCTTATAAGACAAAAAAGAACAATCTAGACTGAGCTCACGTTTATTTAGGTTATTTATTTTAAGTTTTAGGTTATCAAATTTCTAATTTTCTTATTTTATTGCTTTGTTTGTAATTTTGGTTGTTTTATCAAAACAGATCTCACCTGTAAATGAGGTCTTGGATCTCAGTGGTACAAAATGCATTAATATAGGTCAAATACTAGGTTTTCACACCCAGTAATCTAAGTGTGAAAACATCTTTCTTAGGGCACCTTCTCTCAAGCCATCCAGCAAATATGTCTGAACTTAGTTTACTCACATTTTATTGGTATCTAAGCTGGTCATCCGAAGTCGTGATTTTCACCGCATTAAAGAATCATCAATTCTTTTACAAAGGGTTTTTGAGAAGAGTAAGCGATGTAACTCCATCCTTTTTCTTGTTGCAAATAAGCAGCTACACCCCCATTTGATACTAGACAGATCTGTTTCCTGTTAAAAACAGGCACTTGTCCCCTGCTGTTCCCGACAGCATGTTATCCTCCAAATAATTGGTCGTCTTTCAAAAGATGTAGCTCAAAGGCTACAGAAAAGTACTGTTTAAAATTACTTCTCAGGTCTAAAAAATGTTCTGTTTTATAACATAATATTTAGGTTTTCTAGCTCTAAAATATGATTAAATTTGACTCTTCAGTTTCATCCCAAATAGATGAAAAATAGATTTTGTAGCCATAAGAGTGGGTGTTTTTTTTGTGTGTTTTTGTAAAAGAAATCCGGCCTTCATACTAAGCAGTGACAGGCAGTTCCCTCCCTTTAAATACAGGCAAAATGGAATATATTAAGAAAGCTTTGTTTTACGTTCATTTTTAAATGTCCCACTTGTTTTGCAAGCATTAAATTCACAAAAGTGACAAATGGCTGAACACTGTATACTGTATTAACAGGACGCCGGCAGCAGTATTGAACTCATTGTTAAGGGAGGAGTTAATTTTGTCCTGCAGCCAAATTAAAAGTAAGAAAATCAAGGTTCTTTTTTGTCAATATCAGATGACAGCAACTGCATTCTCACATTAGATGCATGCCCTGGTCTCATATAATCTGTGACTAGTTGATTTTTCTTGTTTTATCAGGTAATTTTTTGAAAATATTTTCAACTTGCTGAAAATATTTTCAATCTTAAAGAAATCAACAGAAAGTACAACATTACTTAGAAGTGGGAAGAAAATTGAATTGAAAATTGAATCAGCATCTCATTATTTTTTACCAGAACAAAATATGGTTTGTGTTTTTATGTAGCTCACCTAAGTCTTTATAGACTTGCAGCAATAACAACTGCAAGTCTTTTGATAAATCGCTAATTTAATAATCTATATTTAATAGTTTAGTTTTTATTAAGCTGCTTCCTGTTTCTTAATTTCCCCTACAAATTTGTAAATATTGAAACAAATCAAGATCTGATCTAAACAGTTGGACAGCAAACTGGACCGACAATTAGGCTTCATTCCAAAATAACAAGCAGTCGTGGAGGAAACAGACAGTAATGCTTGTAATCTGGCCCTGCAAATAACAGCTCGCAGTCTCTGTGTGGGGTCAAAAACACTTCTTTTTCTCCTGAGATGATGTAAACGCAGCTTGTGTCTCACTATCAGCTCAATTGGTGGCAATTTGATGGGACCCTCGTTAGTTCTCATACGGAATATGAAGGTTTTTCTTGGTGTCCATTTAAGTTTTTCTTCAAGAATTCACATGCGCCTTGTCAGACAGTTGTGTTTCAGGAACATCTGTACTGTAACCACTTATTTTCTCGCTTTGGTTTGGTTTTTAATATTGAATGAGAAGAGTAAGGATGCAAGAGACTGTTTAAAAAGAGAAAGAGGAGCAGGATGCAGAGGAATAAATTTGCTAAAGAGGGCTGAGGAAGCTGTGCGCTGACTGAATGAGGACGCGACCCTCGGCCTCTGGGCTGGATTTCTGTGGCCCATTTCCCACAATCCTGTTCCATCCTGTTTGGGGAGTGCTCCGTAAGAAAACTGAGTCAAACGATGAGGGACTTGGGAGAATTGGTTTTCGGCAGCAGCTTTGGCATGTGTGTGTCAACGGATGTGCACGGGCGTGTGGGAGTAATGTGGGGAGGGAAGAGGAGAGAGTGGATGTGAAGGAGGAGGCAGGACTGATCGTAAATTACAAATCCCCCCCAACAAAAAAAAAAAAAAAAAAAAAAACAAGTTCAATTCGGCAAATAAATCCACAACACGGAACTGAGAAAAAAAAGAAATCTTAAAGAATTTCACACGGCAAATGATTCGTGAGCCAAATGTGGTCACACATATTGGCACGCTTCATCAGCGAGCTCCAGTGAAAAGGTGATTCCAGCCAAGGAGGTGACTCTCATATGGAGAAGGTGAGGATGAGGAGGAGGAGAAGAAGAAGAAGGGGGAGGGGGGGGAAGAGCAATGCAAGTGAGTCACGGTATTAACTTCCAGCCCTTCTGCATAATCATTTCAGCTCACGCTTCATGGCAGGGAGCTGAATCACCAGACAGACACGTGGCCCAGAGTCTTCTGTTATCTTCTTTTATTGCACACGCTTCTGTTCATGTATGTGTGACGTGTGTGGCATCACGAGAGGCTGACAAACGGATAAAGCCACAGGTTAATCTGCCTCTCAGGGCAGAGTGTGAACGTTACAACGAAGATGCTCTGAAACAAAACAATCAGGATGAATCAATTGCTCCGATTGCAAACCAGCTGGATTAAGTCAATCTGTAATTTGCTTATTAATACACTCGCTGAACGTTTCACTCAACAGGTTTTTGGAATTGGCAATTAAATAGCACATGCAGGGCGTAAAACTGGATGCTGCAACTATTACAAACTGTAAGGTAAGGAGCCACAACAACCATATGCCACTCTGAGCCGAGCTTTGGCTCCTGATCCAAACAACCTCATTAAGAGGAGAATCAGGTGATCACTGTCGTCAGAAACAAGTCAGAGGTTCCCCTTTCGTCAGAAATGCCACGACGCTGTCAAGGATCCAATTACCAAACGGTGGAAATCTCCCCCCTTTCTGTGCCTCCAGGACTCTCCTGGATTTGCTAAACAAACTCTGATAGCCATCTCTTTGCATCCATTGATTTGAAATGCAAATGATCAGGATCAGTGGATGCCGCAAAGAGGACGTGGCTGCTCTCTGTCGACAGCAACAACAAAAGGAAAGCCCTCGCATAGCACTGCCTTATCCACATCTACATGGTGCCAAACTTCACCAATGGGAGCCTTATCTCTGCTACCCTTCTGTGTCCGCTTGACAAGAAACCAACTTGCGCTTGCAGCCTGAGGGGAACTGTAACTCCTCCAAACAGCTCTAAAAGACATAATGTACGCATAGCTTTGCAGGCACCTTGGAGAAAAAAAAACCTGAATGCTCTCATTCTTTGGAGGCAAAAACTATAAAAAGGACAAAGACGGCCTCTTACCTGGAATTCAATCCCATAGTTCTCCCTGCAGAAGTCTCGCAGTTTAGGGTAGACATGCTCTTTCAGTGCATTCCTCTCTGCTTCTGTGTCTGTAACACAGAAAACATTACAAGTTCTTCAGCAAACTCAGTATGTCAGCGTACAACACATGTCTGCCTTATTTTAGTGGCATGTACTCACATGTTTTTCATTTCAAAGAAAAGATCAGAAAATTGGATTAATCATAAACGTTTTAATAATCTAAAGCATCATGGACTAATAAGGACTAAGTTACATTTACTTTTTTCGCATGGTAAGTCAAATATTTAGTCTTTCCATCTTTTTATTGTGCCGCTTTAAGCAGAGTATTGCAGAAAACCCATCTGTTGGAAAAATTCTTTGTGAATTCTGAAGCAGCGGATAAATCCAATTTCTTCCCCTTTCGTCATGCTCTCTTCCCTACTTCCTGACACCTATCACTCTCTTCCTCCTGTGTCTTTGCAGAAGAGTTGGGTGTGGGTGTCTGCTGTAACTGTAAGGGGAAATTGAACTTCCTGGCCACTTGATGCAAACAGTAGAGACAGCGAGGTGGAACTGTACACTGGAGGGTTGTGATTTAATAGTTGATGCAGAGTTCTCTCAATTTCCAGGGCAGAATTAGCAAGGGATGAGTTAATGCATAAGTTACACCAATGGCTTCAGAGGACGTTGATTGCCGCGACAATTGAAGATAAAAGTGAGTAAAGGGAAAATCGAGACATGAAGCTTCACAGTGAGAGGCGCATTTATGAAAAATCTAATTTAAGACTCCGTAGAGTTTCAGCAGCAAACATTAAAACAGCCCTAGAGGTTTTAGAGGTATGTTGGTATGTTTGTACGAGATAAAAAAAAAAAAATCACAATATTTTGCTTGTGACTAAAACAAACAAAGTATTACTCATCATCACACCAGGTAAATTAGAGAAATGAATGGTGAATGGACTTTTCCAGTCATTTTGACCATCCAAAACACTTTGCAATAGAGCAACATTCACCCATCCATGCATTTATACAGCAACATGCAGATCAGTAGGCATCTTGTTGATGTGTGTTGCCCAACAGCACAACAACATGTGACAGGAAGGAGCTGGAATCAAACCTACAATCTTCCAATTACAAGCTATACCAGCCACAGTCAACACATAAAAAATCCAAAACTTCTCTTTAAATTTCTAAATTGTAACCAGCAAGCACAATTGCTTCATTCAATTTTTTTTCTTAAATCTATTTTTTACAATTGGAATTTTATGTCTGAAAATAAAATCATGATATCTCAGCACCAGTGTCATATATGTACATTTATATCGTACAGTGTTCATTACCTACCATGTTACAGAGTGGGAACTCCACTGCTTATTTATGTGTCCCACTTTCCGTTTCCCAACTTTTTTTTTTTTTTTTTAACTATCTTCCAAATGGTTATTGTGATGAATTTGGACAGGCCCAGTCTTGGTTTCTCTCTGTCTGTCTGCGATGGGTGTGGATGGAAAGTTAAAAACAGAACATGCCCCACAGAGACTGCCCTGTGTGGCAGAGAAGCTCACACATATGCGAGCAGCAAACAGCCCTTCAGCTGCTTGACCGTGTCATACGCAGCGTGAGTGGACGAGTCCAGAAATCCACTCTGGCGTATCTATCTCTCGTCTATCTTTAGTAAGGCTTTGGGGCTGTGACAGAGCAGATATCTGCCCGCAGCAGCCCTGGCAAAATGTCAAACCGAAACCAAATGCATGTAACTGTATGCACATGAGTTATATAGCAGGTGTTGCATCGGGGGTGCTCTCATCCCATCCCATTAGTACAATAAACAAAACATTTCGGTGACAGAAATGAGAATGTATCTGCAAAAAGTGACAGTGTTTGTGGAATCAGATTGTCCCCGTTAAGGCATTTGGGATGTTTGGAGCTCTTCTCTGTCTCAACACACTCCACTGTGTTGTTATTTGTGTTGTGCTCATAACAAGGAACTGTCTCTTTTCTTTCGGTGGGATGATGATGAGTTACGGCAACCTGACGTATGTGTGGTCCGTCATCCGCACAGCAGCATGCAGAAGAACAAAGACTGGATCCTACACCCGCCCGCTTCGTCTCCCTGTGTGTCCATCTCTTCAGTTTTTCTATTTGTTTTGTTTGACTAGCTATGAACAATACACCATTCTTATATGTGCTGTCAGGCCTTTTTATTCATGCTGTCACAGTCTTTATTTTCATCTCTTTCTTTCTCCTCATTCTGGAGAAGAAATGGACGCACGCAGAAATAAGTCACATGTCCCTAACAATTTCCTTCCGAGTCACTATTTTTGGACTAAAATCCAAAAATAGTCTGAGATCTCCAAGAGTCTAAGAATACGCCTAGATTTTTTTAAAAACTACTATTCTCCTATTTGGCTAAAAAGTATTATAGAAGAAGTAATTCCATTGTTATGCAAGTCTTCTTATAAAGTTACTGACAAAACAATCCAGAGGACAAATATTCAGTTACATTTTTACAGAATCAGCTCTCATAAAGAGCTGACGTAAACAAGACAGCAGGCTGACACAAATTTTTAGCGTACCATAATACAAATATCCTGCCTAACATGTATTCCTTTGCAACAAATAATTATTTAATAGAGCCATAGTAATAACTTTAAACTATTTTATTCTACAAAGAGAAATTCTTCTGTCTGTAAAAGTGAAGAGTGACAAACTTATCTGAAAGCAGCTTGCTCTTTTGGCTGAGTTACTCAGCTACTCATTATTTGACCACTAGGGGGAGCTCATATACAATGTACTGATATTGGAGCTCTCCCTGAGCATGTGTGGGTTCTCTCCGGGTACTCCGGCTTCCTCCCACAGTCCAAATACATGACTGTTAGGTTAATTGGTCTCTCTATATTCTCCTTAGGTGTGAGTATGTGTGTGGATGGTTGTCTCTGTGTTGCCCTGTGATGGACTGGCGACCCATCCAGGGTGTACCCCGCCTCTCGCCCAAAATGTCCAGCACTCCTCCTAACACCATTAGGGGCAAGGGTATAAGAAAATGGATGGATGGATAATTGAGCATTCAGCCCAGGATGGTTGGTTGGTTAATGGGAATGGAAATATAAAGTGTCCTTGTCGTGAGATGCTGTGCACCTGCTCAAGTAAAACAAAACAAAACAAAAATGGAGCTAAGGTAAAAGTAAAGGTAATTTTATATATATATAGCTCATTTTCAGCAGCAAGGCAATACAAAGTGCTAAGATGAACAATGAAGACGGTCACTTCACCTGTCATTGCAAAATGAAGCATGACAAATGATATACATCCAGAGAACATCACTGAAAGAAACCAACAGCATGACGGGTAATAACCAAATACCTGAGAAACTAAAAGCATGCGTCGACACCACTGAGAAGTAACTCGTTCTTTACCTGTCCAGTCTCAAGTCACACACTTTCCAACTATTTCCCCAAAACATACACTGTGCATGACAGCCCCATAATCAACACACATACTTAACTTGTGAGAAAGAACTTGCTGCTTCACCAAAAGGGGTTAATGTAGCGTTCAACCCCTTCCACTGAACTGAACCGAAACATGTCAACAGAATGGTGATCAATAACAAGTGACCCGGAGAAGTCAAAAGGATGAGTTGTTCTTGCATTAAACGATCATGAGGAGACCTTAGAGCTTATGTAAACAAGATTTAATGAGGATGGAGAAAACCCACTGGAGCTTACAGTGAGACTACCTGCGTCAGCTTGATCAGCGTCGAGGATAATTGTGGAAGTTTCCCCTGCTTCACGGCCATTGACCTCATATTTGATTAGACAGAAATATGCATATGTTCCAGCAGCTGCCTCTGGTGTAATAAAAGGTCATAGCATGATCAGTTTATATGCCAAAAAAGTGCTTTCCATTTTAAAACTGTCAAAACTGAAGGAAACACCTCAATTCCCCCAAATTGTGAACAGATGTGATCAAAATGTCAGAGAGAAACAAACTTTGAAAAAGCAGTCGAATTTCATAGAACCACTTTGAGACCAAAAAAACAACTTAAGAACTATCGATGAGGACCAGTTTAATTTTTACTAGGAAATCTGGCTAACTACAAGCTAAATGAAAAAAATCAGGGGCATCCTACAGATTTTACACACACGGCCTTTGGTAAACAAAGAAAAACATCGATTTTATTGTTATAGGGTAAAAGTAAGGCAGAAAACAGACAAAAATGGGAGTAGAGTTGGCCATAAGTTATAGGCTTAACTGCTGCAAAGTCAAAGACTCATTGCAGTCAGCTGGCTTTTCTTACAAACTCTTATCAGTTGCAATAATTAATTGAACTTGACCGCATTGACTAGGATTGGATAGAAATACATTAAACTAATATTGAATCTGTCTGTATGAATGGATAAAATGCATGTTGTGTTTCTGTTTACAGGTTTTTGTGAAGTGCTCTGAGACAGCATTTGATGTAAATTGTAACAAATTAAATAAACCGAGTTGAACTGAATCAAAGTGGATGCATATCATAAAAAAACCGTTCTTAACAGAAAGAAAATTATCCCTCACAAATTTGGGTTATGTTAATAAAGTTAGCAGATAACCATGATTTAATTTTGGATTGACGGTCAATCAGAAAGAAGCTGGGAGTATGGAATTGTTTTTGTTATTTTATTTTATTTTTAGATATCTAAAGCTGGGTATCATCGACTGTCAGGATCCAGGGTTGTTAGGTTCTCGCTGTAGGGGTTTTGGGTGCATGCACCACCTTTGTTTCCTCACCAGATGGCACCATCAGTTTGACGGAGGGCGTGGATGACGTCATCCCACACCGGCCTCGGATTAGCTCATCAGCGACAGGTTTTGAGGAGCGGTCTACCAGTCCTTCGGCGCCTGAGTGTTGCCCAGTTTTGGTACCTCCTAGCTACCTCGAGTTTTGTACTCTGTGTTTTTCTCGCTGTCTGAGCCATCAGTGATTCCTTTTGTCTACTCACCTCTCCGCAGTCTCCCCTTGGATTTCCTCGACTGGAAGACGCGCCGTTTCTCGCTCCTCGCGGATCCCGAGCCTACCTGTCTGCCCTCCAGCGCGCACACGCCCCACCCAAACCCCCAGAGAGACCGGACCCTGGACCCTGCAGCCACCCGCCGCTAGCTTTTCCCTGCTCTACTCAAGTAAGATCTGTCCAGTGTTATCGACACTCCACTTTCCCACAGCCTTCGAACTCACCTTTCCTGCTCTGTACTCCTAGTGAGCCGATCGCTTCCTGATCCTTCCCTTCCCGTGGACCAGACCAGAGTTTCATTCCCTGCCACTGTGTTCCGTTTCTTTCTCAAATAAATTCACTATATTTTCACCCACCGTATCCTAGTGTTGTGTTCTGCATATGGGCTAGAATCAAATTCCCCCAATATGACAGAACACTCAGGCCAACCACTCAGCCCGCAGACGCAATACGGAAAACGCTGACAGAGCAGCAGTCTGTAATCCAAACACACGAGTCTGCAATACGACAACTCCACACCCTACAAACAGAAACCAACCAGCGTCTGGCAGATCTAACAACTTTCCTTCAAAACTCTCTACCGCAGATCCCGGCTACAGCTCCTGCTCCCTCTCCCGCTCCGGCTCCGGCACCCTCAGTTCAGCCCGTGTTTTCCGACGTCCGACTTCCTGGGCCGGAGAGATTTTCAGGTGACCGGAATAAATGCAATGGTTTCCTCCTGCAATGTTCAATAATATTCAATCATTCCCCGCAAAGTTTTACACACGATGGCGCTAAAAATATCTTACGTCCTGTCTCAGTTATCTGGTCAGGCCTTATTATGGGCAGAGACTCGTTTCCTAATCCCACTGATTATGGTTGTTCCTTCGAGAGTTTCATCAAGGAGTTTAAGCTGGTTTTAGCCTTGACTCCGACAAGGCTCATAACTCACGAGAGATATGGGACTTAAAGCAAGGCAAGCAGACGGCGGCAGACTTTGCCATAGAGTTCCGTATTAAAGCGGCTGCTACAGAGTGGAATACAGCAGCGTTAAAAAGCGCATTCTACCATGCACTTAATGAGTCGCTAAAAGACGAACTAGCCACCGGGACGAACCAGGGACTCTAGAAGAGCTAATTAACCTGGCGATCAGACTCGACAACCGTCTCCGCTCCCGAGCCAGAATCAGAGATCGACGCAGCTCACCGGAGAGAGACAATGGGTGGCGCTAGCATCGCCGGGTCGCCCCTCCTCTTCGTGCTCCTCCGGCACCGGAGCCCATGCAGTTAGGGGGAACGCGGCTCACACCGGAGGAGCGACAACGCCGTTTCTCTGCTCGACTCTGCATTTACTGTGGTTCCCCCGGTCATTTCCGTGCGTCGTGTCCCCTCCGTTTAAACTCCCAGGTCCGCCAGCAGAAGTGAGGAAGCTGGCGGACCACCAGAATAGTGAGAATCTTCCTCAGCTTTTACTGCCTGCCACTTTAAGATATGCGACTCAGTCTTTCTCCGTATCTGCCCTAGTTGACTCAGGTTGCGAACAAAATTTATTGGACGAGGCCTTAATCAAACAAATGGGGGTGGAAACCGTGCCGTTGCCGGTTCCGTTCAAGGTCACCGCCTTGGATGGGAAAACCTTACAATCCATAACTCACCAGACCAAACCTATCCACCTAATAATATCCGGCAATCACACTGAATTTATTTCATTTTTTGTGTTCCCCACCTCCAACTCTCCAATGGTTCTCGGTTTTCAGTGGCTTCAGCAACACAACCCTCAGATTGATTGGTCAGCTAAGCGCATCACCTCCTGGTCCGTCCGTTGCCACTCTTCTTGTCTCCATTCAGCGCTACCTCCAGGACCACCACCCGTTCAGCAGCAGGAGGTTGACCCCGTAGACCTGTCTACCATACCTACCGATTACCATGACCTTTCGGCCGTTTTCAGTAAGTCTAAGGCGCTCTCTTTACCACCGCACCGTCCCTACGATTGCTCCATCGATCTGCTCCCCGGAGCTCCTTTGCCGTCCAGTCGCCTTTACAACATTTCCCGTCCGGAGAGAGAGGCCATGGAAAGATATATTAAAGAATCCTTGGCTGCTGGAATAATTCGCCCGTCTTCATCACCCTTAGGAGCGGGTTTTTTCTTTGTTGGAAAGAGGGACGGGTCCCTTAGGCCCTGTATTGATTACCGAGGCTTAAACAACATCACTGTGAAAAACAAATACCCGTTGCCCTTACTATCATCAGCGTTCGAACCCGTTCATGAGGCCACCATCTTTTCTAAGTTGGACTTAAGGAATGCCTACCATCTGCTTCGCATCCGTGAGGGAGATGAGTGGAAGACTGCTTTCAAAACGCCTATTGGCCATTTTGAATATCTAGTGATGCCATTCGGACTGTCTAACGCCCCCGCTTTTTTCAGGCCCTGGTCAATGATGTTCTCCGAGATTTCTTGAATGTGTTTGTGTTTGTTTACCTCGATGACATTTTGATTTTTTCCAAGTCCTTAGAAGAACACAGACATCATGTCCGGCAAGTGCTGCAGCGGCTGCTCGAGAACAGATTATATGTTAAGGCTGAGAAATGTGCTTTTCATCAGACCTCTGTGTCATTTCTCGGATTCATATTAGGGGGCGGACAGGTGAGGCCTACGGAGGAGAAGATCCGGGCGGTTCTGGAATGGCCGACTCCTGAGACCCGCAAGCAGTTACAGCGCTTTCTTGGTTTTGCCAACTTTTACCGGAGATTCATTCGAAATTATAGTCAGACTGCTGCACCCCTTACAGCCCTGACCTCTTCTAAGATCTCGTTTCGTTGGACCTCTGACGCAGAGGCCGCGTTTACTCGTCTGAAGCACCTCTTTGCAAATGCACCAGTTCTCATTCAGCCGGATCCAGCCAGACAATTCATCGTGGAGGTCGACGCATCAGATATGGGAGTAGGAGCAGTCTTGTCTCAGATTTCACCTCTCGACAATAAAACTCACCCCTGTGCCTTTTTTTCACGTAGGTTAACTCCCCCCGAGAGAAACTACGATGTGGGGGACCGAGAGCTGCTCGCCATAAAGCTGGCCTTGGAGGAATGGAGACATTGGCTGGAGGGGGCGGAACTCCCCGTGCTGGTCTGGTCCGATCACAAGAACCTTTCCTATCTGCAGTCAGCCAAAAGGTTAAATGCCCGACAGTCACGCTGGTCTTTCTTCTCTCGTTTCAACCTGTCCATATCCTATCGTCCTGGTTCCCGAAATATAAAACCGGATGCCCTGTCACGTCTCTATTCTTCCGATGATTCCGACAACCTTCCTGCCCCCATTCTGCCACCCTGTACCGTGGGAACTGTAACTTGGGAGATTGAGGATATCATCAAGCAAGCACAACAAAACGAACTGACACCAGACTCCTGTCCACCCAACAAGATATTTGTTCCGTCCTCCGTACGCACCGCTTTCTTCAATGGATCCACGCCTCCAAATTTTCAGGACACCCTGGAGTGAGCCGGACTATCGCCTTAGTCAACAGAAGGTTCTGGTGGCCGTCAGTCCACAAGGATGTCCGTGAGTATGTCCTGGCCTGCACTACCTGCTCACGCAACAAGTCCTCCCATCAACCTCCGCCTGGTCTCCTCCAACCTCTTCCCATTCCTAAACGCCCCTGGTCCCACATCGCCATAGACTTTGTTACTGGGTTACCTCCATCCAAGGGCATGACAGCCATCCTCTCCATAGTCGACCGGTTCTCCAAGGCCTGCCATCTCGTTCCTCTTCACAAACTTCCTTCTGCCTTCCAAACGGCTCAACTTCTAGTGAAACATGTATTCCGGCTTCATGGCATCCCGGTGGACATACTGTCAGACAGAGGTCCACAATTCACCTCTCAGGTTTGGCGCAATTTTTGTTCAGCATTAAATGCAAGGGTTTCACTAACTTCAGGTTTTCATCCCCAGTCCAATGGGCAGACTGAACGCCTCAATCAGGACCTTGAAGCCACTCTCCGCTGTTTCACATCCTCCAATCCTTCCGACTGGTTCCAGTCTTCCTTGGGTAGAGTATGCTCACAATTATCACGTCTCATCCTCCACAGGCTTATCGCCATTCGAAGCATCCATTGGCTACCAACCACCCCTGTTGCCGTCCGATGAGGAAGACATCTCAGTCACTTCTGTCCGTCACCACATCCGTCGCTGCCACAAGGTTTGGAATTCCACCATCCACAATCTTAACCTCACCACAGAACAAATCAAGCGGCAGGCGGATCGTAAGAGGCGTCCTGCCCCTGTTTACTCACCCGGTCAACAAGTCTGGTTGTCGTCCCAGGACATCCCGCTCAAATCTGTGTCTAAGAAGCTCTCTCCCCGTTACATTGGCCCTTTTGAAATTGAAACTATAATCAACCCATCCGCTGTTCGCCTCCGTCTACCCACTTCCCTCCGCGTCCATCCCACCTTCCACGTCTCTCGGATAAAGCCCGTCCGGACCAGCCCGCTCTGCCCTCCAGCCGAACCCCCTCCGCCTCCCCGTGACATTGCTGGTCATCCCGCCTATTCCGTCCGCCGGATCGTGGACTCCCGTCGACGAGGTCGGGGTTGGCAATATCTTGTTGACTGGGAGGGCTACGGTCCGGAGGACCGTTCTTGGGTTCCGGGTTCATTTATATTGGACCCGTCACTTGTCTCGAATTATCGTGCGTCGCTTCCCTCCAGCTCGTCTAGGCCGCCAGGTGGCGGCCATTAGGGGGGGGGGTACTGTCAGGATCCAGGGTTGTTAGGTTCTCGCTGTAGGGGTTTTGGGTGCATGCACCACCTTTGTTTCCTCACCAGATGGCACCATCAGTTTGACGGAGGGCGTGGATGACGTCATCTCCCACACCGGCCTCGGATTAGCTCATCAGCGACAGGTTTTGAGGAGCGGTCTACCAGTCCTTCGGCGCCTGAGTGTTGCCCAGTTTTGGTACCTCCTAGCTACCTCGAGTTGTACTCTGTGTTTTTCTCGCTGTCTGAGCCATCAGTGATTCCTTTGTCTACTCACCTCCGCAGTCCCCTTGGATTTCCTCGACTGGAAGACGCGCCGTTTCTCGCTCCTCGCGGATCCCGAGCCTACCTGTCTGCCCTCCAGCGCGCACACGCCCCACCCAAACCCCCAGAGAGACCGGACCCTGGACCCTGCAGCCACCCGCCGCTAGCTTTTCCCTGCTCTACTCAAGTAAGATCTGTCCAGTGTTATCGACACTCCACTTTCCCACAGCCTTCGAACTCACCTTTCCTGCTCTGTACTCCTAGTGAGCCGATCGCTTCCTGATCCTTCCCTTCCCGTGGACCAGACCAGAGTTTTCATTCCCTGCCACTGTGTTCCGTTTCTTTCTCAAATAAATTCACTATATTTTCACCCACCGTATCCTAGTGTTGTGTTCTGCATATGGGCTAGAATCAAATTCCCCCAATATGACATCGACATAAGACAAAAAATAAACCCTGCCTTATTTTAAAAAAATACTTAGACCAAAAGGTACAGAAGAATAATAAATAAAAAGAAGGGGAAATTGAACAGCACCTTGGGGAACATCAAGTGACAAATGGTGAACCTGAAATGTTGTCACTGTACATATTAATTATGATCTGGAAGACAGAATTTGTGAGATGCCACTGATGGTAAAAGATTTGAATCTCCTGAGGAGAATTTAATGAGAAACTGCAATAAAGGCAGGTCTCTGATCAAGAAGCAAGGAGTAAGATTACATCTGTTGATCATTTGATGATTTGTTCACTGTGTTGGGGCTGGAAACGTGACTGAAACTGTTGGATGGCAATTGTTAAGTTTGAGAAAGTATGCACCAGATTATTGGTGCTTAATTAAATTAGCATATTAAATTATTACGTCTAATAATTTAGTATGTAAAATTAAATAGAAAGAGGATACACCGGATGTAACATGAGCGACAAATGAACCCAATTGACAGATTTCTGAATGAATCCAAATATTCATATTAGCACTTCTGAGTTTTCTTTTTTTACACATATAACTGGAGGTAATCATGACTATCACCTTTTACAGACAGTGCATTGTCTTCCGATTATCCAAAATTGGGCCGTCATTATTTGCAAAAAGCAGCACCATCTGACTCTAATTAAATATTTTTAATTTAACTTGTTCCATTTTTAGCCTCAAAGTCTCATAGTTAGAACCAAAGACCAACTCTTCCGAGTTCCTGATTGTGTAGCGATGCTTTGCAAAACTAGGGGAGAGGTCAGTAGGAGCTGCTGCCAGACTTATCAAAGGAACCTCCTCTGTCCCTTCAGGGAGCAAGAAGAGGCAAGAAGCCTCAGGAGAGAAGAAATCATCCGGAAAACACTGACATTTTGGTAGCACAGAATGGGGACGTGCAAAGCCCCACAAGTCCAACATTCAGCACCATCTCAATGAAGCTCTTTTATAAAAAAGCAGCCACAATTTGACATAGTTTTCCCTCAGACTCAATGGAAAGAAACAGATAACCAAGAAGCTTGAGAAAGTTGAAAAGAAATTCTGGGGAAGTAGCCTTATGACAATAAAAAAAGTAAATTAAAACTGTGGGAATGATTGTGGCGCGTTGGAGGCTGGATTTCATGCGTCTTGCCTCTGAGGTCTCTTGCTTTTACCAAATTTAAGAGACATCTCACCGTTTGAAAGCAGGCTACGGCTTCGGCGCCAGATCCCCAGAGGTGACTTGAGCTGGGTGCTGCGGCTGCCTCCGTACGGATCCGTGGGCACACGCAGATAATCGACCGATTCGACGAGCTGTAAAATCTATCCACTGATACGTGCCAAAACAAATCACACGAGGATTTTTTTTCTGGTTTGTTACTGCTGTCTGGGTACTGTAGCAACAAAACCTAATGGGTTTCTAAATGATCAGCTGTGGTCGCACACACATGCGTATAAACTCCTTTGTAGCAACGCGCATCAAAAATGTTCCCATTTTGTATCACAAACAGAAACCACAGTTTGCAACGTTATGTGACAAATCAACACAATTTGGGCGTAAGTGAGCAGCTGACGGAAAACGCTGCCTAATTTTTTAACATTTGTTTAAAATACATAAACATATGTATGCATAAGGGGATCTCTTTCGCTCCAATGTGCTTGAACACTGCTCGTGATTGCGTCCAACTCTCAATCATTCAGGAAAATATTTCAAATATTTGTTTTATAGTATAACTTCAGATTTGTTTGTCATGAAGGACTTTTACAATCAATAGCTTTTTTGTTGCTTTTGGGATTTGAATCGCAGTAATGAGGAGAAAAGAGGCTGAGCTGCTCAGAATGTGAACCGATTCCTCTGATTCAGGTCACTGACCTTAGATTGGAGCATCTTTTCACTGAGACGTACTGTACCGTGCTAAATAAGTGCATGGATAGCCCCCTCTAGTGAACATAAAGAAGCTCGCTCTGCAGCAGGGCTCATGGTCAAAGAAAGGTTATTTTATTAATCAGGGATGAAGGTCTTTGTTGGATATCAATTAAATCTACTACCAACAAGGCAGATTTGTTGCTTAGTAAAGCTCTCTGGGGAGTTTTTATCTAACTGAGGGAGTGAATAATACAATCAAAGTTAATGCCATGAGCATTAGCTTGCAGGTAAATAGTTAAAATTACAGTAGAATCTGCTACCTGGTGATTGAATACACCAGCGTGTTGCACTGGTTACTTGCGCCTCACCTCTCTGAAAACAGAGGTTTGTAATTAGAGGTCTTTGTGTTTTCGATGGACATGTGTATCTTTCCATTTGTGCTGATGCTGTTTAAAGATTCGCTCCGAGCACGGCTCGCATGTCCTCTCATCGTTTTTTCCATCCACGCGCAGACGGGAGCGTTAAAATCCCCGTCGACACAGGAAGCTGCCCCCGACTGAGCGGGCCACAGGTGGCCAAACAATAGCCGGCTCTTTACAGTCCAATAATCTAAGGCGAGCCCACGTGTTCCTTCGACGCAGGCTTCGTTCTGACCAGAGGAAAGAAAGGAAGTGGCGGAGACACATCGATGACAGCGACCACCATCCTTCCGTTCTGTCCGTCGCTCTCTCTCATCTCTCTTACTCTGCTTCTCCTGGCTTGTTTACTCCAGTTTTACCGAGACTATTTTTACACCCTCGCCCAAAGGGCATATTCAAATCCAGAGCTGCAACTGGGTGTCTCCTCTGCGACCCGACTGTCTTACACTCTGCTCGCACCATGCAATCTGTGCTGAAAGCAATCTGTTGTGTCACATGCTTTATTGGAAAAGGCTCACGTTTTTTTTTTCCTTCCCAGCTTCCTTTGCTGAGCTACAATTAGAATAAGTGGGTAAGTGAACACCTCAGTGCCATGTAAATCAAAGAGCCACATTTGTAGCAGCAAGCCAAAGACATAAATGCTGGGAATGTGGTGATAATGTCTCCTCATTTGTGATATGTGCAGGAAATAAAAGCGTATACACGCGCTCGGGATCTAGTTGCTTTGACATTTGATGACACACCGCAAAGGCTCCTCAAAGCTCCGCAAACCTTTGCGAAAAAAAGTGCCTTGAAAATAGAGAGTAAAGGCAAGGTGATGCATATTTGTGAATTAGAAAGACAAGTCTGCATGGTTTTCACTATATTTTAGAAATGATCATTTGAAAAGTGGAGCAAGTGGGTGAGACCGGTTGAAGATTGTTTGTAAAAACATCAATTTTCAAGTCTTGCCACAGAGTCTCGACTCAAACCAGCTCATTCTGGTGTTTTCTCTCTGCTGGAAACGGTCTCAAGTCTTCTCCAGCTACTAACCTCCATCCATTTCCCCCTCAGCTTCCCTGTCCCTCCTGAAGCATCCACACAGCATAATGCCACCATCACCATGCTTCGGTGATGCTTCAGGACGGTGTATTCAGGATGAAGTGCAATGCTGGTTTTCTGCCACACACTGTGTTTTGTGTGTAGACCAAAAGTATCATCTGCATCTTAACCCAAACCTTCATCAAACGTTTTGGGATTTGAGGCAAACAGTACTTCTTTGAACTTCTTTTGAACAATAATTGTCTTCCATTGATGCTATATTTTTGTAGTTGTCACAGACATTTGAACTTTGTATCTTTTTCTTTGCCTGGAAGGCCTGGACAGCTCTCTGTGATATATTAAAAACTTGTGATATTATTTCAGCTTTGGCTATTGCTGCATGATCTAACCCTGTTTTAAGCTTATCTCTTTCTTACCACTGATGTGTCTGTTGTAATCTTCACTCTACATGATGTAAGGAGGGTGTTTTCGGGGAGCTCGGTCGTCTTTTCATATTTCACTTTGCATTAAGCACTAACTGCTCAAAACGTTCATGCCTGTGCCTTCAGGAAGTCTGAACAGCTTTGCAAGACACTGTGGGTGATGACCCTGGGCTGTGGACTCCACGGGGTTGAGCTCTGTGTCAAGCAGGCGTCACGCTCTCAAGTCTTACCATCGGGGTTGGCGCAGATGAAGACCCGGACGCTGCGCCCGGTAGGAACATGGTGCGGCGGCAGGGCGTTGATATTGCCGCTGATGGCCGCCCTGCGCAGCGCCGAGTCCCGCGGGCACGTCTGCCTGCTCCCCACTCCCGATGGCCACATGGGAGGAGACTTCCAGCGTGGCTGCAGACACACAGACACACGCATGAAGGGGATCGTGTTAACGCAGCCAGTATTTTTTAAAAAAATTTAGTTTCTAATATTTAACATACATTTGCGCGCAGATCCCCTCTGACCCATCCACGCACACACATTTCACGGGGCGTTGAAACGTGGCAAACCTCACATCTCATGTTATTGAACTTTTTTGGAAACAATTCAAATTACAATGCTGTAATTTTTTTATTCTTTTTTTATTTTTTTAAATAAAACCTATTGGTGAAACAATGCGATATGCCACAGATGCAACTCCCACTAACACGCACGCACCACGCACAAACACGTCCGCCAAGTTAGAATGAATCTGCCAAATCTATCCTGAAACACAGCAACGATAGCTACTGAATGAATCTGTTGAGGCATTCATAAAAATAAATAAATAAAAATAAAAGGAGCTTACGCACAGCCTACTATACCGCCACGGTGCATGCGTAATGTGCAAACATGTCCTTGGACGCATTCATGAATTGTCATGCCACTGTGGGGACAAACAGACAAACAGAACGAGACGAGACAGAAGTCGAACAGACGGGCAAAAGGCAAGCATCAGTCGGGCTCCCCACCCCAGAGAAAGAAGATGCTTGTGGAGGCGAATAACCGCTAAGAAAGGTTATTCCAGATGCCAAGTGAGGTGGTCGCTGGTTTTCCGGAGTTTCTGTAGCCTATCTTGAAATCTTTTTTGTTTCACAGACGGAAAACCTCGAGAAAAAGACAACAGTAATAAAAAAAGAAAGAAAGAAAAGAAGAAATCAAGTAGTCCAAGTCTACATTAAATCCTCAAATACAAGGACTCAGAATAGTGAGAGCACAGAGGCACCGCATCCACAGAGAGTGGTGATCTCTACTAGTGATGCTGGAGACAGGCACAACAGCAAGGATGCACTTCTTGTTGCTCACGTTCATTCGCTTCATTTCGCGGCTTCTGAAAACGTCCAAGCGTCGAGGGCGACAAGAAGGGGGCAAAAACGCCCATCAGAGTGGCCGTGACCGACGCGAGACGTCTGGAGGCGGTGGAACGGGCGCCGAGAGTCGGAGTGCTCCCCGTGGCATCCTGCTGTGTTTCTGCGAACCCACTGTTCCGCGCTCAGAGAGAGCGCCGGGAGGAGAGAGAGAGCGCGTAAATCCCGCAGACGTTAACGCACCACTTCCGGTTGACACCTTCAAAATAAACCCCAATGTGCTCAGAAATGTCCTACAAACGTCTCGTTTTTACTATTAAACTATAGAAAATTAAGTACGTAAGCAATGAATACACTTATTATATCCAGGGAGTGTTTTTTATTTAGATATATTTTCAAGTTTTTAGCCTCGTACTCACAGAGCCGATGTCCGCTGAAGTGCCGCTTTTAACGTTGAAGAGGTCGACAGTTCCGGGCGCTTTCTGGCTTTGACTGTCCAGCTTGGCGGAACAAGCAGGGGATGCTGTGGAGGTCCCTCCTCCTCATACACCCTGTCACCCTCCTCTCCGGATAAGGGGGAGCTTAACCCCCCGGCCCTATTAAAATTGTAACGGCCGGCCAAGTCAGCATTGTGTAGTCATAAATGGCGTTACCTCTGTTATGTCCACACCGAATGAATAAAAGCCGCAAAAGCTCGACGTAATAATCTGATGTATAGTCAGCGAATATCACACACATTTTGAAGTAAGTTTTTTACTCTCTGATGTTGGCTGCATTTTCTTTCTGGAGACCAAGTTACTCAGTTCGTCTCCAAGATGGCGGCAGCTAGCCCAATTAACTAAAAGAGGAACAGCCCCTGACGGCTGAATATCGCCAAACTTATGCAATGTGATGGTTAAAAACCAAAGTACATCGCGTGCTTAGTATTGAACAGCACAGGAATATAATTTAGTATTTCTAATGAGAAAAAAAGTTAGCAATTTTCTGTCTAAAATTGCCAAGTTCGTGTCATGTTGTCAATCTGAATTAGAGTTGACTTGTTAATACAGTCCTTGAGAAGACAAAGTGCAAGTTTTTGGTGAAAAACATCTTTTGCAAATTAAAAGCATGCTTTCTTTGTATTTTCTCATTTTGGTTGATTTAAAAGTTAACCAATTTCAGACTAAGATTATGGCAGCTATAGCCTAATTAGATAACACAGGACCAACCTCTTACGAAACTAACTTATAGCTGATGCGGCCATAGCGGAATGTAAGAAAGCCCTTACCTGTCAGAGCAATAAGTACAGAAGTAGATGAAAGAACATTTTTCACTGAGAGATATAAAACCATTCGCCATTATCTCACCGTGGATTCTTCTCGACGATACTCAAAACATCCCCAGAGGTGTTACTGTTACGACCTTTCTTGTTTTAAAGAGAATATATATTGGTTTTTACAGAGATATAAATGTCGTTATCACCAGACATTACATATGGTTAAAATGAAAAACTTCCTCACCACTCCGAAATAGCTATTTCCAAGCTCTGGAGGTTAAATACTTCAGTAGAAATGTAAAAGTATATCCTGTGCCTAGAAGTAAAATCTAACATAAATATGTTCACTTTTGTAAATTTAATGTCTCCATTTTTTTACTCTCCTACATAAGCCTTTCTCCCTCCTCCATTTTCACACCAGGAACGAAGGCCAGAGCAGAAACACAAAATCTATTCCACAAAATGCTCCAGAACTGAGGTCGCACATCTTGGACACAACCTGAGAGGTTTTTTCTTTTGTGATGGACTTTGGCTGAAGTTTTCTCAAGAACTGAAACGTCCTAGCTTTGTTCTTCAGCCATCCTAATGTTTAAAACTTCTCTACATTATGTTTTTTGGGGTCATATTTGGCTTTGCCAAATCCAGAAATTGGACACAAGACAACTTTATAAGAACTTATTGCAAAATAAATTGAGCAACATAAGTAAATACATGTCTCTTTTTTTTATTTATACAACTATAAAAGTTTTGCTTTGTTTTTATCAGGGTTTACCAGACTGTCCCTTTTGCTCAGACAGGTTGAGCAGTGGATGAGGAGGGGTTTAAATTAATTGCTTTATCGATAAATGTACCTCTGCTCTGCAGCCTCTGGTTATTCGTGCTGGAAGTTTAAGTGCATTGGACTTGTACTAAATGGAATTGATTACTGTGCTGTTCTTGTAAGGCTGGTGGTGTTGGAGGTGGAGGACGCAGAACCATATATTTTTCCTCACTTCTCAGCCTCGGTGTTCCAGCTGCTGTCTGAACCTGGCAAGACGTGTGTGGTGCCCTGACCCAAAGTTTAACATCTGAACATTTAAAATTTTGGTTAACACGTGAAGAAGTCATTGGGCTGGCTGCACAGTTACATATTAGCATTTGGATCCAGAATGTAAACAGAAACATTCAAAACACTGCACTTCAGTGGTAGAGTACACTGACCCGCAGCTATATATAACTCTAATTAGATCAGTAGATTTTAAAATCTAGATTAACCATGGTGAATTAAAAAAACATATTCCTCTTACCTGATTAGACAGCAGAGAACTGCTGCAGGTCTTGAGAATGATTAGGGCTCTGCAGGCTCTCTCCGACCCATTTAAGTCAGCCTGCAGGGCCACCAGCTCACACCAGAACAAAACTGAGACTCCGGTAGAGCTCAACTGGAGCACCGGGGGGACCGGAGCCTTGTTCCCAACAGTGTTATGACCTTTCTTTTTTTGATTGTTCCGCTTCCTTTCATAACACCCAGCTAGTTAATCACGGGTGCACCTGCACTGGATTATTACACTGCAGTCTTTCCGAAGCATGCGCTTTGATGGGCTAATGTGATCAGGCCGAGGAAATGTATACTTTCACTCTTGCCAAAGCAAACCTATGTTTGGATTTAATGGAGTTAAATAATGGAGAGTTAAACATTTTTGATATCTTGAATGTTCTAGGACTGCTGTATCGGACCGCCCAGAGCAAAATGCGAGTCACTGGGATGATGAGATGTGATGTGTCACCTGGTTGACACACAAACACAAAGAACAGACACTGGCTGTTCACTTGGCATCCATACACACAAACAGAAACAACGACTGCACAAACAGCTGGTGATGGATGGTTGATTCTTCAAAACAGCTGGAGAGGAACAGAGTGGGAGGAAAGGAGGAACACTGGGGCAGGGCTGGTCTATTTTGGTGTGATACCCTTTGGTACCACTACATTAACTCTTCAGTTATAATGAAGAGTTAATGTAATGTAATGTAATGTCGTCCCTGGACTATTTTGTTGACTCAGAGGTGAAACATATTTATCACACATGTTTGTTTTCTTCCCAGTTTTAAGACACTCATATGCAGGGAATATTTAACAACAAGGTGAGATTGTGGAATTGGTTGCTGTTCATACATTCACTTTTAGTTTGTCAATATAAAGACACAGCGAATTATTTTGAAAAGAAAAAAAATAAATAAAATAAAACTTGTTAAAGGAGTTCTGTCCAAGGCACAGAATATCTAATAAACAGCATGGACTAGCAAAAAAGAGGTTCAGAAGTGTACTTGGCAACCTTGAGCCAGTTGTTGCACTTTGTAATAGCATTTTGAAATCGCATCAGTTTGGATACTTGGGTGAAGAAAAGGGCAGAGCTTTCAACCAACTGGTAATGACTTGGGTTGGTGATATAGGCGGCTCCTAGACAGAAAAGGTCAAACCAAACACGTGACGCAGGTGAGCTGGCAATAGATGGCAGAGGACGTGTTAGAGTGATCTTTAACTCATTTCTCTCATTTCCAAAGGAGGGTGGGGACACAGAATATGAATAGACCATGTTCACAAATCCAAGTGTAGAAGCTGTGACCTGAAGGTCGTCGGTCGGTTCCTGTTGCGCTGGCAGATAAATACGGTCATGAATAACAATAAATCAACAGTGATAAATAGTAAAGTAAGGGACAAGGAATCCCAATATATGCAGATGTTTTGCTGAGTGAACACAAGCTTGGTGTTATGAAAGCACATTCATACCAGAGGTTGCACTCTGACCCAGCTTCATTTCTCTCTGCATTGTTCATTTCCAAAAGGCATTAAAGGCATTTTTAATGTGCTGTACCTTCATTTGTTTGCTGTATGATTAAAATTCACTTCCAGCTGTTGTTACCATGACCTTTCTCACCCATATCCTACTGCTTGTGCTTAAACAGAATGGCAATTTTTTTTTTTTACATTTCATTTTTACATTTCAAGCTCAGGTTCGTCTCCAGTGTGTGAATGAGTAGACAATTTGCTGATTCCCTGACTTGAATTTCAAGATTCCCATAAGCAAAGGAAGCTACTCAACAATTTATGTATGCTAAGCAGATTAACGTTCGGCACCTTGCAAATCACCAGGTTTATTCATGAGTGAAAAATTTTCCACATCAATAAATTGGAACTGTTCTCGCCACTTTGGTTTCGATGTACGGAAATGATTTGAGCACTCCCAGGACGAGTTTCTTTTTTTTCTTCCTATAAACGCATCTGTCCTCCTCCACATTGTCTCCCTGGACGATGTTTACATTTGCACATCTGTTAATGCCACTCACATAATGAAACCCAGGAGATACCCAAGAAAAACAACAGAATCAATCCTGGCAGTTCTGGCCTTCGGCGGACTCAAACATAATCCTTCTATTAGTCAAACCAGGATGCAGATCGGAGATCAGCATCATTACTTCCTCTCACTGTTCTGATCTGGTCTAAACATCTGCACAGGGTTAGGAGGTGGTGTGGACGGTTTGGTGCGTTGGGGGTGAAGCAATCAAATATGAACACATAGAATAACATGGCAATTAGATTGCTAAAAATGAATGAAATATAATACACAGACTCTCACAGGTAGAGTCTACTGCCCTGCTATGACAGACGTGAGATGTTAGCTGCAGGCGCTGCAACCTTCTCCGTTTTCTATGTGCATCCCTCTGAAATCCCCCCCCAAAAACATTATCAGTCACATTTCTGAAGTCAAACGTTTAAAATTCTTTCATTTTAAGAAAAACTGAAACAGACTTTTACACAACATGCCCAAATCTCCTCCTCTTCCTCCTGCTAACTTCCCACAGAGTGTGAATCCTGCACCACAACAGCAATCAGCCAAGATACTGTGGTTATATTTGGTCACTTAG